CACACCTCGCAACCTCACGATTCCCTGCGCCTGCCACGAGAATCGCACTTCCACGCCTTAAAGCCTGCACAAAGCCCTGCGCCTGCCACGAAAAGTGAACAAAATTTGCACCGCAGCACACGTTTGGAATTATTTCGACCCTCTCTGAGCACACTCCCATCCACCAAAATCGCCACTTCAGCTGAGACTTGTCACGAAAGCAGAGCTTCGATGCAACACCCTGAAATGCAAATCCCAATGTTACAGCCATATCCAACACCCCAAAATCACCACTCTCCAAACGCCAATCCCAATGTCAATGTGACTGCACAGAAAACTGCCGATCTAACAAAACGCTGTGCCTGCGCAGTGAACTCATCCTTCACACTTCAACATCTTACGTTTCCACACGTTTCCTCGCTATTTCACACGAATCTGACACATCACGCTTCCATGCCAAACCCTCTCCAAAACCTTCCCCGAATGGCAGCGGCCTTAGCGTCTTCCTGCGAACGGCGGCGGACGGTTGACAACAGTTGCGAACCTAGAGACAGACAACGGGTCGCGAACAAGCCTCTACCCCCAGACCTCCACAGAGTTAAACGAGAACCCTTCGCTACGCATTCGGGAAAACATAGACAACTATACAATATATCCGTCGAGACGGATATTTAACCTGCCACGCCAAAAGTGAACGAGCCACTCACCCAGCACAAATCACTAAAGTCTCTCTGGAATAGAAATGTGCGCAATGTTGCTGGATGGGAATGGCAACACTTACATGATCTGCAACATGGTGCGCAGGCTTGAGGCCCAAGACAAAGACCCGTACGTAGCTTTGGTCATGGCACCCAATTGCTCTAGGGCAGGCAATACCTCATTTGTGCATATTTCCTTCGCCAGCGGTAATCCATGGTCAACCTGCGAAGCTTCCCATCGTCCCCTATGGCATCCGACATGCCAGGAATCCAAACCTTGCCTTTTCAGTTGCTGAAATCCCTGCACCATAGCTCACCACTGTGCGTTCCACATCCTGGGAAAGCTATGGAAAGCTGTCTGTCCCTGTCAGACTTTGGGAAGCACACCATCTACTGTAACTCAACACACTCACAATCCATTCTGCATGAATCGGCTTCTCTGTGTCATCTGTAGAACAAATCTCAACGTGTAACACTTGTGTCAAAACGTCCTGGACCTTCCCGATCAAGTGGACACTCCTGTCTCCAGTGGAATAATGCGACCAGATGGGACGGTCGGTGTAGTCACAGTCATGGTCAATCGATGTCGGCTCCGAAAAGGGATTCCAAGGTCAAAACAAAAGGAGATCTTGTTGGTATCAGGACACGAGCAGGGCCCTGCTGAAAGCAAAAAGGTATTTATGGATATATAGTTCAATCAGGTTGTAGAACACAGTTTCAAGTTGAGAGGCCTGATCTTTTTTCAGTTGCTGGTTTTGGCCTCCTCCTCCTCAAGCTTTTGCTGCATTCTAAACAGAGTGCGACACCAAGTTAGTTGTAAACATGATGTGTCTACAAACTGTTTGAAGCACCAACCTTGGAAAACTTGGTCTGGCCCAGGGGGTTACGCCAGTTGCCGACAGCGCTGATGCACCAGGGTAAGGTGAGTTGATCAGTTTCCTTCTGAGGAGGGCCAGGACATCATTGGATGACAAGGTTGTTGAACGAATTACTATAACGGGCAGCTAACTAACAAACAAGCAAAACAAGCCCCGCCATTCAAAAGACCATGGGAAAGCTCTGAGGATGAACTGAATCATCGCGGCCTCAATTGCCTCAGGCTCAAATGATCTAATTATCGCACATCCTGCCAATCTAACTACTCTTCTCAACTCCTTCTTGCAGTTCGAGGGAGAGGGGTCAAAGCTGGATTCGTTGTGATGGGCACTGGCACTCGACTCTTGTTTCCTCGCCTCGCTGGATAGGTGTTGTCCTTCTTCTTGATGCATTGTGCGAGTGGGCAATCCACCGCGGAAACTTGCAAAGGCAACTTGTTCAATAACTACAACTACAACCAAGTGGTCAGTCCTCACTTCCTATCGTGATCTTTCAATTGCTGGTTTTTGCAGTCGTCTGGGGGGGAGTGGCATCCGATGGCCAGAGGGATGCAATTTGCATTCCAAGAGTGAACCTGAAGAGATGTGCTTTATCCGGAAACAAACACATCTTGGGTGCTGTTGGTACAGCTTCTTTTTTGAGTTGGGAGTGATGGTTGCAAATGCTGGGCAAGTTGGATCTGAAAGGTTTCAGAGCTGAGGGCCAGCCAGAGATGTACATGATGCACGATATGTATATACTGATATATATATATATATATATGTGATATATGTGTGTGTTACGCTAATTATGTGTGTATATAATATACATACACAACTGTCTGCTAATTTAATCACCTGTCACAGGTCCGCACCTACTGCGTCTCCTCTGCCATTCGAAGGCCTTTCCACAGCCACTCGCGGTCGAGTTGAAGCTGACCACATCCGGCAGCAAATCCCACTGGAGTCAGGCAAATGTCCCAATCTCTCGGCAAGAAAAAGCGTAAGCTGGCAAACAAGTGTTTGCCCATAAAGCTCTGCTGGTAAGTAAACTTCCTGGAAAATTACTTTGTCAACGCAACTGGACATGAATCCGGTCGGTCATCCAGCATGGGAATCTGGTAGACCTTGACCGGAATTCTCAAAACTAATTGCGGGTTGCAGGAGTCCTGCAAGGTTCTGCAAAAAAATATTGGGGGGTGGTTAACAACTCACCCCCATCCAAGATTAAAAAGGACGCGCACGCCTTGTTCGCAACCCTACCCCTTCACGGGGGAGCCCAAGTCCTTTCATGGTCTTTTTGAAACGCATGAAGTTTCCCAACGGAGCAAGAACTGCTAAACGTTAGCCCCCCCTCCAATGCCCATCTTGGGATTTCTCAATAGACTCTCCGAGCTAGATCAAATGTTTGCGTTTCACTATCCACCAACTGGCAAATTTTAGCAAGAACAGGTTCCCTACGACCATATATTTACGCACTTCTCTCAGCTAATCATGGTGGCAACTGTTGAGTCCAGGCACCCCAGGTAACCACGCCAAGAAATGTATTGCTCTCCGCCACTGGCCACCTGCCAAACACCGCGAGGACCGAGCAAACCGTCCAGCCAGATTACTCTGGTGGCTGCCTACATGACAAAGAAAGGGCGAAGCTTGAGTTCAAAGAAGGAAAACAGTTTTAGGTGGCTTCTTGCTGCTAGTAGCAAGGTGGCTTACTAGTAGTAACAAGCTACTAGTAGTAAGACACCTTGCTATTAGTAACTTTTGTTACTTGTAGTACAGTAATGCCCTTGTTGCTAGTAGATTCCACATCTGATTAGCCGATCACCATGTGGTTTGTCCATCTGAGAAGGAGGTGGTGGGTTTGAATGCCATCCAGGTGTGCACCTTTGTCACATGCGCTGATCGCAGCATTGACAGCATTCACATGTGGCGGCAGCCTGGGCGGGACACCGACCGGAATCTTTTGTGGCAAACATCAAGGGCTATCAAAATCTATCAAAGGCCAACTTGTTCATCGTTTCGCCACTACGCCCTAAATTCTCAACCGATGGAAGGTTCAACAGTCCACTGGTGGTCCTCTATCTAGGGACGTGTCAGCTGAAGGGCAAGAGACAGCTATCATGGGCATTTCCCCAAAACGAACCAACAAGACGCGGTCTTCAGCATCATGTTCACACAAGTGCTGGAGACAGCGCCCAAAGCCACTTGTTTGAGAGACATTTCTTGAGAAGCAAGCACAGGGAATTGATTGTATGAAAAGAAGCAAGGCAGATATTCAACTATCAAACTATCGCCAGGAGTGGAATAATTATGCAAAAATGGATCGTCAACATCAACTAATGTTAACGTTAACTATAAAAAATCGTCCGGCAAGATATCGCCCAGGCTACATTTGCAAAACTGCATAATATAATACCGTCCAAAGAGGACACTGTCGAGTGCGGCGGAAGTGTGTTGAAATATTGACTTCAAGATAAGTTTGGTTCACGCTTGGAAAGGGGAGCCTCACCTCTGCAATTTGGAGGCAGTTTCGTTCAGAACGGGGCTCACAGCGTTGGCTGGGATCCTTTCAGTTCGACGGAATCGCTGAACACCTGACCCGCAAACTCTGCAAACCCGTGTAGCTTTACACTTTACGTCAATGCCGTGACAACGTGGGCACCAAATTCCCTCAAACCCAAGTGAATGGTCACGTCAGAGCATATTGCGGACGGGATGCGGATACTCATAGCATTGGAACTCCTGCATAAGAACCAGGGCCAATGACCAATTCCGACCTGAACGGAACACAGCTGGCTCACCAGCATTTGGCTGTCGAGCTCAACCCAGCCTGTCAGACATCGACACACTTGACAGGCCGCCAAGCAAAGATTACTGTAGTACCAGGACTTTTGCAGTCGAAACAGAAGGGCGACTTGGTCAGAGGCTAAAAATGTTGCAAGGGTGTGGGCGTGGACGCCTGCCCCGTGTGCCTTGCTCACAGGCTCCAATTGCTATAAGATAGCTCACAAGGGTCGGCTGAAGAGCACGCTTCCTTCGGACAAAATGGGACAGGCTGAGATGCACACAGATTCCGGAGATTCTTTGGAACAATTTGGATATCTAATGATATCTAGTGCTCTGAGCGGGTTGTTGCCAGGTGAACCCATGACGGCCATGTGACGTACGGTCAACATGTTATGATACGCGGCTATTGCATTGGCATATTTGTCAGTCCCCTATCGTTTCCCAACCTTGGTAAAGGGTAATGTTGGATGTTGATTAGTAAGCCGGTCTTCAATAATGCTAACATTTTCCAAAATTATTCCAGACCCCATGTTTGAAAAAGTGGTCATGAATGATGCTAAATTTTTTGGGGGTCCCTATTTGTTATTGGACACCCAATAAGGGTTTGAATTCCCTCCGAACCCTGTCCACCTGCACTCCCCCCTCCCTTCCCAGGCAAGCAAATAAGAAAAGGTTTTTTCCACTGGAAAAATAGATCTGCTCATGGAATCTTCCTTTACTTAGCTCCTAAGGCCAATGATGATGATTCATTATGTAGCTGATATAGGTTTCTCTAGGTTTTCTTCAACACTGACAGCTTCCAAACCCACCAATTCCTAATTCAATCCTTTATGTGAACATTGCTCCTAAACAAATGTTCAAGGTAGTAGA